TCATGCTGATGCTGGCCGTGCAGCTGCCCCGGTGGCACTGCTACGCCAAGCACTGTGCAAGCAGCGTCCCATGGCCGCCCTAGGAAGCCCACTGGGGCGTGGCGGGGCGTGGCGGGGCGTGGCGGGGCGCAAGACGTCGAATGCACAAGGGATGCAAGGCACGAGCTGTGGGGGAGGCTGAAGGGGGCGGCGTGGAGGGGGAAGATTCTGCGGCCATGTTTCAGACACGGTCGATCTCACGGCATGGCTGTTGGGGGCGTAGCGGGGCGGGGCGGGCCTCGTAGTCTCTGTGGAAAGAGCCCCCCCACACCGCGTTAGAGAAAGGACGGCGGCGCGCGAAGACGGAGAGAGAGAGAGAGAGAGAGAGAGAGAGAGCGAGTAAGGGAGGAATGGGGTGGGTTCGTCTTATTGATCTTCTTGGCTTTTCTTCTTGCCGACACACCTTCTCTCTCTCTATTTTCCTCTCTGTGTCCCGTCCCTTTCTCTCCCCTGCCTCCCCTCCCTCCCCCCTCCTTTCCGTCCCTGGAGACGATGACTGCTTGCCCCAAAACATTGCCTTTTCCCTCCGCCTCCATCTTGGTCTACTGTGCCGAGCTCGACCCCTCGCCTATGCTCTTCAAGACGTCTCTCTCTCTCTCCCTCCTTCAATCCCTTTCTCTATCCACGAATGCCGGCTTTTCTCCCTCTTTCTCCCATCTACCACACTTCACACCCCAAATCTCCACCGAAAATGACTTCCTCCTATTTTTGGTGTTTTGCCTCGTCGTTTCAATGATTTGGCCGGGAGCGGAGGGGGTCCGTTGGTCCATTCGGTCGACTGGACTGTGTACTTCCTGTCCCCCTCCTGTCCCTCTGCACCGTGCTGCCACCTTCATCTAATGCGTCTTAATCGTGCTCTCGGATGATGATGACGACGACCCTTTAAACGCGATGATAAAGTGGTCTCTTGAGGGAGAGAGGGAGAGAGAGCCAAGGAAGGCGGGGAGAGAGGAGGAGGGGGTGGTTGTCCCTCGCGGCGCGCTCTCTGCGCCGCACAGCCTCCCCCGCGCGCGCCTTCGCTATCGCATGGCCCGCGGGGACCGCGAACAAGTGAACATCGGGGTGTTAGCTTGTAATGATTAGTGCAGAGAGTTTGGGGAGCGAAAGAGAGCATTAGGGGGAGCGAACGAGCGAGCGAGCGAGTGAGAGGGGAAGGAGAGGATGGGGG